CCTGTTGGGCTAACCACAAAGTCAGCAGTTCAAACTCACCAGCCACTTCAAGGGAGACAGATGAGACATTCTGTTCTCCTAAAGATTTAGTATCAGAAACCCAAAGGGGAATTCTACGCTGTCTAATAAGCTTACTATGTGAGAATTCACTTGATGGCAATGTAGTTTTGTGAGTTTTTTTGGATATAATATATATACACCCATATTTGATAATTACATAATTTTGTGTCACTTTGAAGTGTAGGGGTGGAGTCTAGCCTGTCAATCCTGTCACAGCCTGATGGTGACTCCTTGTGGGTGTGATTGTGGGGCACCAGCCTCTACAACCGAATGGGTCCAAGGTGTGGCTGTGTAATCGAAGGGTAAATTAAAGAGACATCAGACAAGACACCTCTTCCATGACGACCAGAACCAGACAGTGGGCCAAATATAATCACAAGCCTATATAATCTCAGGCATGCAAGCCATGTCAGACACATATGTAACAGGAAGGGGCTGTATTAGAGGCACACACGTAACAGGAAATGGGACGAGCTAGGGATATGCACGTCACAGGAAGTAATGTGGGTAATACATTACATACGTAACAAGATGGGCAGGTTCTAGAGTTAAGATGGCGGCATATCTTGGGCATCTCTGAGTTGGCTTGACCTTCAGTGTCTCTGAGCTCTTCTCCAGGGGAACAATCTATGAGCCTTAGGGTTAGATGGTCTGATTGCTTTTGATGGCAGATAATCTTCAGGCAGAGTGCCTTCAAGCAGTTAACCTTCAAGAGTATAGTAACACCTTAAAAATGGCATCATTGCAGGGGACATTGTGGGAACAGCTCTTATTTAGGAGAATGTGACTGAGATGCACCTCCAATTCCCAACTGTGAAGGTCTCCCTCCATCAGAGTCTCTGACCTCCCAGACTCCTTAAAATAGGAAAGAATTTGTTCGCATACACACTCTTCCTGGTTCTCACTTTCCCACACGTGGCCTCCTCATAAGGAGGGTCCTGGGAACCCCCCGCCCCTCTGCCTTCACCTTCCTGTGGATGAGCCCTGGAGATGTGCCCACTGCAATTGGATTCACGGGATGTTACATCCACTGGCTGGTGATGGTCCTGCATGCGACTTCGCGAGTCAGAAGAGGGACTTATGAACGAGTGTTGGACAGATGGACTTGAGTTGGACTGGGCTGGGATGCTCTCGATATATAATGACTTCTTGATCTAAAGCTCTTTCATACACACATATGAGTGCCACTGGATTTGTTTCTCTCGTCAACCCGGCCTAACACACCATATAAAAGTTATGAGGTAAAAAGGTATGGCTGGCATAGCTGTGGAAACAGCTTTACGTTTATTTTTTTTAAACAATAGTTGTTGCACTGGATCTCCTTATCTTAAAATGCCTGGGAAGCACAGCTGTAGACTTCAATTTATGGTACCTGCCAAGCAATTCAACTTTTGTCATGTCACGGCTTCTCTGCTTTGTGCGAACACTTTAAGCATCACCGGTGGCACTTTGCGCAGCTTACATGGTGTCATTCAAAGTTTATGGTGTTGCACTACACATGATGCAAAGAACTCATGTTTAGTTTGAGATCCCCTTTTTTCTGTGATATGCAATTTTCTGGAGAGATAAACTGCTTGAATGGAGACAGGGAGATGAGATTTAAAATAAACAAAAATTCCCGGGTAAGTGGACCCATGCAGTTCAATCCTGTGTTGTTCAAAGGTCCCTGTACTCGCAGCGCTATGTGATATGCTACTCAGTATGTGTTTCACAGAGGAAGCCTCAAGGTGTTTGGGGTGGCCAAGGAAGGCTTCGCTAAACAAGTGCCTCTTGAATTAAATTGTAGTCTGCTGGCCAATAAGGGAAGGACATTCCAGAGAAAGTAGAGTGTGAAAACGGAAAGATTGGGCAGAAGACAGATTGAGTGGGGTTGTGAGTCAAGCCAAGAGGGTTGAGACCTATAAGGAATAGAGGGCTACTGCAGGATTGGGGGAGAGGTATTTCTTCCCTTAAAAACATCTCTGGCTACAAGGCAGAGGAAGGTTGGAGAGCAGGGCAGAGCAGAGCTAGGCAGAGGGCTGTTAAACCAGTTAAGAGGCCATTATGGTAATTAAATGAGAGATGATGAGGTCTGAAATATAGGTAAATGGCCAAAGGACAATGAAGAGGCAGGAATTACGACTTCAAAAAGAGTGCTTTACAAACGGAAGCTAAGAGTTGAATCAAGCCCAGGGCAATGGACTTAGTTTTACGTAGGGGTGAGAGACATGCAAATGAGATTCTTAGTCTGAGTGACTTGGGGGTGGAGTGGGCAGTCAAGCAATCAAATGAAAAGGGAAATGCCCTATGTGTGTGTGGGGGGGTGTGCTCACACTTTTTCAGCATGCGAGCTACTTATAAAATGATCAAGTCAAATGATCTACCAACTACAAAAATGCAAAACATATTTTAATTTATCACATTTATTCATAAATGCATTGAGAATTCTTTATGTATACAAGGCACAACACAACACAGTTAACTATGTACATTTTTTCTCATTCCCTGAGTTTACTCTAATGACTTGCACTGAATGGAATGAGCCAGGGATGCATAGTCCGGACAGGAGCTGCTGACAGCCAGCCTCAAGCACACTTCCAAATGATCCTCAGTCATGGTGGAACGGTATTTGGACTTAATGATCTTTATGTGGGAAAAGGCTGACTCACATAAATAAGTAAAGCTGAATCATGCAGTCAAGGAGGTAGCACATTTTCTCATGTTTGGGTACTTTCCCTCTGCGAGTAAGTTCCAGAACTGTTCATGCGCTCTGGACTTCAGTTGAATGTCGGCTTGTGGTGTCAAAATCTCCCATTCCGTATGAAAGTGATACGTTTTTGTCTTCTTACTTGGTCCAGCTCCCACACTCATTTTAATACCCTTCCTTACGTTTAAGAGAAAAAAACCAAGGTCTAAAAATTGGCGATAACTTAGCTCGTCAGTTTTGCTGCACTTAGCGCAGTTGTTTGCGCGTGTGTTTGACACTTAAGATTGCATCTGATGGCTGCACTGTAGATCAGTTAAGTGACAGGATTGATGATAGGCTTACATCTATTTTTCAATGCCATGCGATCTACCCACACTACATTTGCGATGGTCTAGTGGATTGCGATCGATCACCCTTGCTGTATGTTTTTGAAAACTATCTGACCCTCCTGTCTCCTTTCCACTGAACATATTACCAATTTCTGCCATGTCTTTGCCTCTAATCTTCCCCACCCTTCTAATTATCCTGGACAACTACCAAAGTCATCTTCCTAAAGCAGCTTTGCCTATAAATATAAAGTTTTGCTCAACAGTATTAAATGACTTCCCACTGAGTCAGAATGAAATATAAGCTTTTTAGTGTAGACCATTTATGACTCTATGTTCAGGAAGGCTACAAACTGCTCCTTTGATACCTGCATCTCTTGGTAACGATTATTCCCTTTCCCTATATATATCATCGATCTATCAATCATCTATCTATCTATCATCTATTTATCTAGCCATCCATCCATCATCTACCTCAAAATCCAAGCAAATATTTGTTCCTTTAACAGATTCCGTCACTTGACATCTCTAAGCCCTGGCTGATGCTATTTTCTGTCTGAATTCAGTGTTTTTGTCCATCTCAGTCTGCCAAAATTCAACCCTGTCTTTATGTCAGCATCTCCATAAGGCGTCTCCCATCTCCTTAACCCAAATGATTCATCTGTGTGTGTGTGTGTGTGTGTGTG